CGCGCATGCCATCGCTCTTCTTTAGCTTCAGATTTGACTTGTTCACCTTGACAATGAGATTTATTATACAACCAGATGGACTCAGTCTGGACACAAAGTTACCGCGCTAGTCACCATGCCCCAGATATGTCTAGCCCCTGGACAAAAAACATATAATTTCACGTCATTTTCAAATACTTGAAAATTTGTACCTAGTCCCATTTTACTGAATAAATCCCACTTTAACGAAATAGAGCTTAGACGTTCGATGTGGGCATCAAACTTCTTCTATGGGTGGTGGAGTTGTAAGGAACCAACTCGCCGAAGTGTCGTAGGCTAAAGGAGCCCCGAAAGCTTGACCAAAATGATAAAGAGTTCATCGGATGAGACCAAGTCTAAGATCGAGTCCAAGACTGACTCTAAGACCAAATCTAAGATCGAGTCCAAGACCGACTCTAAGACCGAGTTCGAGATAGAGTCCGGAATCGAGTCCGAGACCGACTCAGAGACCGAGTTCGAGTCCGAGTTCGAGACCGAGCTCGAGACAGAGTCCGAGATCCGAAATCGGGTCCGAGACCGAGTCCGAGGTCGGGTCCGAGGTCGGGTCCGAGATCGGGTCCAAGATCGAGTCCGAGATCGAGTCCGAGACCGAATCCAAAGTCGGATCCGAGATCGAGTCCGAGATCGAGCCAGAGACTAAATCCGAGTACTAATACGGGTCAAGGGGTGAAAGCCCAAAGCGTGCGTCTCCCAGGGGGGGAGGGGGGGGGGGGGGGGGGGCCTTGGGGGGGGGCTTCCGGGGGTTCCCAAAATTTTTTAGGGATTTGGGGGTCCCCGAACCCGTTTTTAAAGGGCTCTCCCGGGGGGGTTCCCAAATTATTTTGGGTTTAAACTGGGACCCAGGGGCCTTGGGGGGGAAGGAGTATGGACTTTGTTTGGGCCCGAGGGGCCCTTCCAGGGAGGGTTCAAGAGCAGCTCCCCCTCCCCAAAGGGAAACCCATTGGGGGGCCCCCGGGTCTTGGGGGGGGGGGGGG